CCGATAATTTTCTTTGTCTGGGTGGAAGAAAACTGGTGTGTTTCGGATGTGGCTGTGAGGACTTCTGTACGTTCAAATACGTAACTACGTTCAAATTATTAGCCTCATCGCTTTGAAGTGGAATAGGTGGTATTTGTATGTAGTTGGTTTCGTTCACAACTACGACTTTTCAACCTGGGAATAATTTTTTTTCACAAAACCTAGCTACACTGGTGAAATCATGCATTGAAGTAGAACAAACATTTACTGTGGAAGCTAGAGGGCCAAAGTTGAGACAGGCACTGCTTGGGCACAGTTCGCCAAAATATGAGGAAATTCTGTTAAAAACTTGCCACCAAAAGGTTGTCTAAAAGAGTATTTGGTACTGCCAGTCACAATCCTGACCCTGAAGTTTCTTGTCAGCACTAAGGACTAAGTCGTGTTTGTACTCGAGACCCTGGATTACCTTTCCAATCTAACTACCAGTTGTAGCGAACTGAGTCTGAACTGTAGTTGCACCAAACTGGCGCCAAATGGTATCGTCACGAAAAATGTCATGTCACTAAATTACTACTTTTTATGTCTAGTGATAGCGACGTTTTTCGCTTTTCCAATCACTAGGCTTGCAGTGAAATTTCATGCGATAAGTTGGGAAAGCACTTGTAAAAGAATATTCTGGTCTGGAGTAAGTTTAAAGTAATTCGGCTCTTTATATCCAGGTTTGCAAATAGCAGAAAAAAGCGTTGTAAGCGTAGCATGGTCAACGTACGACATGGTGTCTCGACCTGGAGGTTTTATATGTTTGGCATACGCTGCATGCGTGAAATGTGCACGAAATTTCCGTTCATCCTTGAAAGTGAAGTGAAAGTGAAAGTCTGCAAGCGTTTCCGCACAATTCTCGCTGTTACGGCGTAAAATCCAGTGTTGTACGTACGTCCACTGCGGAGTTACAACTAACTGGGCGCCGCTTTGGATTACGGTAGCGTGGCGGTAATACTGAAGTTAGCTTCTTGTATCTGCTGGTGATCGATTCTGGAATTGATCAACGAGTTTTTCGCGCCTTTTCGCCCTACTATCGCTACCTGGTCATCGTTGGTATTCCGATATCATTATAATGCCACCGAAAAAGAGCCCAGCAGATGGGGAGCCGGACTGGCTGAAGGCTGTATTGAGGAGGTTTGATGATTTTTTTGAGCGTTTCGACAAAATCATTAGTGTTGTTATGAAAGTTCAAGAATCTCATTCTACCATTCTTGATAAGCAGAAGGCTATGGAGCAATTACTATCAATTGATGCTCTCATCCAAGCTCTGCTCTGTGTAGCACGTTATCCAAATTCAAATCGGACACTAAAATTGTTGATGACATTGCCTGTAAGATAACATGGGTAGGCATTGAGGAGAAAGCGACGGAGGAAGCTACGCGCGCTTATGATAGGGAGGCCATAAAGGAAGTGGTTGAAACTTCAGGAGACAAATGCCTCCTAGAAGAGTTCAACCATGGTCGAATAGAGTTTTGCAGACACCCGAGAACAAGAGTTCCAGGGCGCCTGCAAAGCTCCCGTCCGCGCATTATCAAAGTGAGCCTAAGGAACCAGGAACTCAGGGACCGCTTGCTACAGCATATGAGAAGTGGGCGTCAGTCTCTTACCAAAGACTTTCGTCCATTCATATGCTCCGCCCTGACTATACCAGGGAAGAGATTGAGTATGATCGCGCGCTACGTAGGAAAGCAGGGATCATGAACAGCCAAGAGGGAAAGCTTACATATATAGTCCGCGATCTTGCAATACACAAACTCCGATCCCGCGCGAGTTGCTTACAAGCACCCCTAGCAAGCGCCAATCTCCAAACGCTCTCTCTTTATCTCCGATTTCGATCTCGCACGTTCATTGTGCTGCAGAAGTTGCACACTAGGGAACAGGAGAAGATAATGCGCGCTAATCATCAAGTCCACACAGGAATGATAGCTGCTCATGTGATTTCCAGTTATTCAATGCTCGCTCGCTGTTAAACGAAATAGCTGACTCGAATTTCATCTTGCATAAAAACCTCATGGATTATTCATAACAGAACGTTGGTATAAGCCTTGGTCCGTCCAAGACGCCGCGCTCAGCCATGGATCCGATTACAGTGTCTATCGCTGTAATCGTGAGGGCGAGATTTGGAGTGGGAGTAGTGGCACTGATATTTCCACGGACATGTTCAAATGATTGCTCTTCAGATAGATTCTAAAAACCAAAAAATGCTCATTTTTCTTACCTACAGAGGCCCATCATGTAGTACCGCCTCACTTACTGATTTCATCGCTTATATTGAGTGCTTTCTCAGCGAGTGGAGGAATCATGTAGTAATCTTTGGGAGATTTCAACTTCCCCACGATTGATTGGCACAATATGGCCCTCAGAAGGCAATGTATCAACGCAAGCTTCCTCCTCGTTTCCCAGCTTTGCCGCACATTCAGCTTGAAACACATGGTAAAATAACTCACGCATGGTATGAACATATTGGACATATGCTAACTTCCGAACCATCCATAATCGATGGTCCCCGTACACTACCCCCGTGTAGCACTTCGGATCGCCGTCGACTTAAATCAAAATTGTTGATGCATCCGTAGTTCTTTCTAACAAGGCAACCTATTATAGACTATGTTCAAGAAACAACTGTGAATCAATAGTCAAATCACTTAGGGAGATTGATTGGATAGGTCTCATCAACTTTTGCAGTAGCACGAACGCGTGTTTGTTAGCATTTATAAGCGTTTAATCAAAAGGCACGTTCCGGTTTCCCTTCGCAAGCACACTTGTAAAGGGTACTGGAAGCGTATGCGATAGTTGGAAGCGAAAGCTGATTATTTTTATTCCAGTTCTTTATCAGTGCGCCAGAGTGAATACAAAAGATATTCTGTGGAACTCAGAAAGGCCCTTGTTCGCCGACAAATGCTGAAGGAAAATGACTTAGCCTCTAGCAAGAACACCAAGCGCTTTTTCAGTTACTGTAGAAAGAATCTCAAATTGGCTGACTCAATTCCGAATTTAATTTCACAGGGTGTCGTGGTCAAAAATGACCGAGCAAAAGCTGACTTGTTCGCTTCCTACTTCAGCTCAGTCTGAAAGAAACTCGGTATGTGACAAACGGATCGTAATTTGCCGCGCTGCTGGGCGTCGCGTGCGACGTCCCGCCCGCAAAGGACGATGGTTTCAGGCAGTAGATGGCGACAACATGCAATTAAGGACCGAAAACAGTAATGAGTGTCTACGATGACGGGGTCTACATGAAGTCCGGTGCTCCATCCGATCCTCTTTACCGTCTCCCAAAGAAACACCGCCTAATCTATATTAACTTGTCTGGGGCTGCACCGGGTAGCATCAACTGGGTAGACATCAACGTCAACAAGGTTCAAAACGCTTTAAAGAGACTCCCGAATAGGGTATCCAGGTCGCCAGATGGTATCCCCGCTTTATTCAAGAAGGCAGCACTGGGGCTCGCCTCTCCTCTGACCATTCTTTTCAATAGAGCACTACTTCAAGGAGAGGTTCCCTGTCTATGGAAGATTGGGCTTGTGCGACCAATATTCAAAAAAGGCTGTAAAAATGAAGTCTCCAACTACAGACCCATTTGTTTGACCAGCTCTGTCAGCAAAGTGATGGAACGGATACTCTGTCGTGCAATTATCGGGTTCTTAATTGAAAGGCAGTTGTTGCACGCCCAGCATGGGTTTCGTCGGCACAGATCCACAACTTCAGCGTTGTTGTCAACAATCCTCTCTGGCAGAGAGATGTAGACAGAGGGAATTTCATTTCCGCTTGTTATATTGATTATGCCAAAGCATTTGACTCGATATCTATACCTCTCTTGTTGAAAAAACTGGCATCCTATGGCATAGGAGGTCAGCTTCTTCGGTTCCTCGAGTCTTTTCTGGTCAACAGAACCCAAGCAGTAGTCATCAACAATGTGAAGTCTTTCACGTACCCTACGCCTAGCGGTGTGCCTCAGGGCACATGTTTGGGTCCACTCATGTTTATCATCTACGTGAATGACCTTGTCGAATCCCTTCCCATGGGTACGTTCTGTAGTATGTACGCTGATGATTCTAAGATTTATACCGTGAATGACTGCTAAAGGTTGCAGCTGTTCACAGCTGGTCAGACAAATGGCAGCTAGAAATTCCTTCCTGAAACAGATATATCATAAGAATCGGGGAGAATCATCCGAACTTTGACTTAACAATGTTTGGAAAGCCTCTTGAATGTGCCCATCATGTGCGTGATTTAGGCCTGATGTATAGCGACAAACTCGAATTCGACAGCTATATAAGTCAAATTACGTCAAATGCTAACATCAGGGCCAATTTTATAATCAGAGCTTTTCGGACACGCTCATCGCTTTTCACCCCTATGTCCGACCCCTCCTTGAGTACTGCTCTCCCATTTGGTCGCCTTGTAAACGATCACAAATTGATGAAATTGAAAGAGTGCAAAAGAGCTTCACGTATAGATGCTTTTATCGGAAAGGTATCACCACACTGTCTTATGAACGTCTTCTTCATAAAACTGATGCGGAGTCGTTGGAGTTTCGGCGAAAGCAGCATGACTTTGGGCTAAGTACAACTTAGCAACTGGGGAAACAGTGTTAAGTTGAATGATCTTTTTGAAATGTCTTTCCACTATAGGTTTAGCAAAGGTCACCCCTACCGTGTGCGCCCGTATAAGGCCAAAACGTCGTCCTTCCAAGGTTCGTTTCTTGTAAGAGTCGTTAGTCTTTGGAACAGCTTAGACTGTGAATGTTTCAGGTGGAAATGAGCTTCGTCCTTCTAGGAACAGATAGGCCTCCTTCTTAAACGTAGCTCGGCTGACGACCAGATTACATGACCACATTTTTTCCGTGACTGTGGATGTACCTTGCCTACGATGTATGAGTTAGGCTCACACTGATAGCTTGCAATCGCACTTGAGCCCGTTGAAACAAAAAAGCAACGTAACTTATTGTATTGATGTTCACACTACGTTGGTCTTTTTCAAATATTGGTGTTTGATTTTGGATATTTTCCTCCTATCTAAAGTGTCACTTGTAACCTTGTCCCACATGATGCCCCGCAACCTTTTTTCCCCTGCACCTGCTGCTGTTAGTGTTGCGCAATGGGAGTTGGTCCTTAGCGACGTTGGCGGACCTACTACGATGGTATCCGGAGTTCGTGTTGAAGCTGGTCCGAACTTGCAGTGTGGCGGCCACTGCCCTTCTGAGCTATCTATCGTCTGCCACTCCCAGGACGCGCCCACTCCCCCTCCTCTCCCCTCCCCCCTCCGTTCCTCCTTTTTCCTTTCTATTGTGCAAGGGTTATCGGAATATTAGTTGCAACATGTGTTTTAGCTGGCATTGTTTGTACCGATAACAAATCAAATCAAAAAAAAATCTGGGCTGTGAGGGTATGCCTTGGAATAATAATTTTGTTGTTTCCCTTTTTCATTACTGTATTTGATCGGACAGTGCACGGCAGTACGATGAAGATTCCAGCTCACTAATCAGATCCACCGTGATCGTGGACAAATTTTGCTATTCGAACAAATATGGTTGCAACTATAGTCCTGATCCATGCAAACGGTAGGACTGGGACGCGACGTGGACTGGAGAGCAGTTAGGGTGGCCTTTTCCACCAACGATGCCATCGTGAGTCCGCTAGGACTTGTAGCAATTTCGCCCTGATTGCGCTCCAGGTCACGCTTTCGTCGCACTTCCTCTCTTTTGCAGGGATCGTGACTGTACCTTGATGATATTCTCTTGCTCATGAAGGTATTGAAGCCTTTAGTTTGAAGTGCAAAATCTCATTTCCTACCAGTACCAAACAGATTAGGATGTGTAATGCTGACAGGTTAATCTGACCAAGGAAGTCATTATTTCCAATTAAGCATTTGCAATCAGAGGCCTCTTCGGATGCAAGCCTCGAATCTGCTTTCGAAAATATAGAAGCGTCTCCAAGCAGAGGTTTACAGTTTTTTTTTCTCAACACCTTAAGCACAATTGATAGCACCGTCTTATACGGCATATCAAAAAATCAGTAGAATTAGAAAATGCGGTTGGTGATTATAGACCAAGAATTTCAGAATCGACTTTGGAAGAACGGATCCTCCGGTGTATTGTTTCTTTGCTTTCTTGTCTTTCGCCGTGTAAACTTACCCTATCGTAGTTATATCAACGTAGTTCAACCATATTTTGCTTTCCGCTGAGATGATTCCATTCGTTGCATTCTTCCAGTCTTGGAATTTGTTCGTGTTGTGAAATCACGACAAGGTCAAGCATAAGTTGAGAAATACTGAATTAGGGAGGGGGAGCATCGCTCGCTGTCGGACTCGGAGAAACAGGGAGAAAGAACTGTTACAACACTGTGTGTGGGGGTTAACAGCGGAGGCTGTTGCGGAAGCCCTGAAAACGTATGCCACCACAAAGACTTTTCCACATGCTACCAACACGACAGGAAGTATGGCATCAGATTCAGAAAGATTGTTTCATGGACCAGAACGACTTTGAGTGCTACCATGGAATGTGATTGTCGTGTGCGTGGCGCAGCCCATGAAGGAGCCTATCGGTTCCCCTGACACTCACTCTCCACTTGACTTTGGATACAGGTAGAAGACGAGGCGTTTAGGCATGAGTACAGGACGGAGTTGTGGGGAATTAAGTAGAAGTACTCACTTTCTCAGCTACAGAAGCCCAATTCTTTTAACTTGCAGCAGCATTTCCCACTAGGTACTTGAGCAGTAGAGAATTCCAATGCACTATAGGAAGCGCCAATCTAGCGGTTTCCAATGCTCCCTTAACCTCCTTCGAATGTTATGTGTGTACGAAGTTATGGCGTCCTCGATACTGGTGCATTTTGAGAGCTAAAGGTTCCCCGTTCTCGGGGGAAATCCTTAACGACGATTTTTCATTTACTTTTCGAGCATAAGCCCTTCTTCAGATCAAATGAAGTTATATATGATATCGTACAACACAAGACGGGTTAAGGAAACACAACAGGTGTACCAACTAGAGCTGTCCTAGAGTAGGGGTAAACCACAGGGACGGAGGGCAAAATGAAAAATCGGGGAGGGGGGGGGTTGTGCGGGCCGTCGGGATAAAGGAATGTGAAGTGGATGAGGACTGATTCCATTTCCACAAATGCCCCATCCAGCACATTGCACATCGTGGGCGCTGTTTATCGACGGGGGGGGGGGCATTTTGTATTATAATTGCTTCCCTGGTTCCGGTTTACAAATCTCACTCTGGTAAAACTTGTGAACGCTCGCCACTTGAATTATGGTGAAGCTGGAGCAGATAGTCCAGCACAGTATCATCGATCAGTGCAAGAGAAGTATGTAGTCCGTGAGGAGAGGATATTGCATGCCTAGGCGTATGTTATCTTCGACATGATTGTCATGGGGTCTGCGTGATCAGCGGTCGCGTTGTATGCGGTCGCGTGCTACCAGTGAGATTATCGTCGCGCCTTGCGCGTCCTTGTCCGCGGTAGGCGTGCTATTCCTTCGCGTGCTGGCCTGCAGGGGATCTAGCCACCATCCTAAAACGTGTCAACTCGAAAAAAGGGTACCTAGATGGGTTGGCAAATCTATGAAAAGCAGAATGCCCCCCCCCGTCGATAAACAGCGCCCATAAGCCAAAGTTGTCCTAGGGTAGCGTGGTTTCCGCTACCCCAGGACAACTTTGGTTGGTGTGCCAGTTTTTATTTTCATAACTGCCTGTGTTGTATGGCGTAACATATGATTTCAGCTAGTGTAAACAAGGGCTTATGCCCGAAACGTAATTAATGAGGGTTTTTGGGAAAGTGGAGACTTATTCTGATTTCGAACAAGATGTAAGAAAATGAAGCTCGCGAAACCTACAGTGCTTCGGCGACTTATTTTTTGAAAATAATCAATTTTCCCGAAGAATTTCAGGTTTTAATATCATCAGAAAAAGGAGATCTTTTCTCCACAAACGTTTTTTGTATCATCCTGGTCCTGGCACTACCAACGTTATTGTACTGGAAATGTGGAAAGCTCCCGTTCTTAAGAAATTTCCACCG